GGTTTTAGCACAGCGCATCATGGACTATAATGAAGTTTCTTTGTGACATAAACTGCTTGTTTAAATGGGGATATATTATTCTCTGTCACTGACAATCTAATAGGTATTAGTATTTGACATTTACATCACTTACACAATGGTTCCTTGGCCCACAGCTGAAACCTGTGTGCGCATGTGTCTTGTGTCATTGCTTTACAGATTATTTTCTTCCTGTTTGTAATGTTAATTGTTTTGTGAGAATATGTGCAGTACAGTGAGTCATTTGTTCAACTGTGAAACCAAAATTCTTGTCGGTCGCCCCCACCTGGTCTCTGAGCAGCTCCAACACTTGGTGGAGGCATTCGTTCACTGAGAGCTCTCCGGTTTTCAGTACGAGCTCTGGCACCTCAGGACGCTCATAATCTGAATCAATCCCAGTGAAACCTGACGACAAATGTAAAACCATTAAAATAAATGTCATTGAAATCCTGTAGCCATTGAGAGTCCATTTTTAGATATATGTATAACCACACGCCCTGTAGTTGTAGAAAGGATTTGGCATTACTTGAATAACTCAAAGGGTGGTAGCGTGCTAAACAGGGAAGGTTCATTGTCTCACAGACCTTTAATCTCTCCAGCCCGAGCCTTCTTGTAAAGTCCTTTTACATCTCTGCTCTCACACACCTCAAGAGGAGCATGGATGAACACCTCGAAAAATGGTAGCCCGGCGCTCGCATGGATCTTCCTCGCCTCAACACGATCCTGTAAAGAAAAACGATAGATATATTTCACTTAAGCCTTCATCAGATAATGGTTTTCTAGCTACTTAAATGAACAGATATGCACCATTCCATGAAAACAGAATGTTTTCTGACCTTGGCGAAGGGGGAGATGAAACTGGTGATGCAAACAAGCCCAGCATCTGCAAACAGTTTGGCCACCTCAGCAACACGACGGATGTTTTCCTCACGGTCTTCGGCGGAGAAGCCCAGATTCTTGTTCAGGCCATGGCGAATGTTGTCTCCGTCCAGTGAGTAGCAAGGGATGGCATGGGACACGAGATACTCTTCCAGGGCAAAACTGATGGTAGTCTTCCCAGCACCAGACAAACCTGGGAAAATGTAGTAAGACGTGTAAGCAGTGTGTTTAAAATAGTCCATATCAGTTTAATCCTTATGCAATGTATGCTTCCTGTATGGCAGAGGAATGAGCCACTTCATGACTAATAAGTGGATATCATATACGAGTATAAAGATTTACCGGTGAGCCAGATGGTACAGCCTCTGAAGCCTCCTCTGGTACCCACGACCTGCCCTCTCTTGCTCCGGCTGACATGGTGGGCCTGGTACACCACATTGGTTGACCTGTTGAGGTCCTGAAATAGAAGAACACGGGTTCAGATAGAGGCAAACTGAAGTGATTCTGTGGGAGATACTAACGATACTGATAGCCTGATGTAGAAAAAAGGCAAACAGTAATTGAGTAGTTGCAATAAGCCATCTTACTGGGGTATATCTAAATGTGAACAGCTCAGATCATGTTAAGAATATTATGTAACACACACGTCACACCTCCTCTTTGTCTATTCTGCTCAGTTTGTCAAGTCTGGTAACATCTGTAAGGTAATTGTTAGCGGGGCCTTGAGAAAAAAAATGTAGACACAATGACTTCAGACCTGATCAGACTTGCTGTGCCGTGCCAATTAACGTCATGGCACTTTACAGAGAAATTAGAGCCAAGTTTAGCGTAGCACCACTTGTTCTAGATGCCCTGCCCAAACTGACTATGTGGACCAAGCTGTGGATAAATGGGGCTGTATTGACTTCTAGAGGGGAGGGGTAGAGGAGGGAGGCAGGGAAGGGATGGAGGGAGGGAGAGGACTGACTGGACAATGTGTCCAGTGTGCTGCCTGCAGCCCAGCGATGATGTGGCAGTGCTCGTGCCCACACGTTTGCCCTCTGCACCCACTCTCCCTTCTTCCATACATCCACCCCACAGCTTCACTTTTTGCTACCCCCCCATCACTATTACCTTTTGCCTACAACCTGTCTTCCACATTTCAACCCAGTGTTACAGCAGTTTAACATGCTATTTGATCTCACAGGGTTTCATTTTAAAACCAACCATCTGCATTTAAAGAGCTCTTTCTCTCACACACACGCACACACACACACATACACAGCAGTGACTGTAAAAATTGGTGACCTCAACAAACAAAGGTGTGTTTCAGTCAAGAATGTGGGAAAAGCACAGCATAAAGTTTTTCTTTATGGCTGTCTTCCAAGTGGATGAAGTGCTGCAGTTTATAGATAATCAATCTTGCCAGTGCTGGTACTAAAAAATATAAATCACACGAAATATGACTTATTAATGAGTTGAAATGTTTTACAAAAGATGTTTTTTAACAAAAGTATGAAATTTGATGCTGCAGAAGGATGTTAATGTACACTACTGGCCTGACTTCTTGAATTTCCCCTAGGGGATCAATAAAGTATCTATCTATCTGTCTATCTATCTATCTGACCTTGATTTTACGGGCGTTCATTTACCTTGTACATAGAACGAGTAAACAATTCAAAGTATGTTAAATATGCTCTAATGATGAGTTTATTCTTCTCCAAATGTCACATAGCCTGCGGTTAGTGCATGTACACACCCACATTATGTTGGTGAGCTGTAGACAAACAGCATTATTCTTCCAAACACAGGAGACACCTTCACACCTTCCATCACACACCCAATGTCAACACAATGCTCTTTATTCTCCCTCTCTTCCATTCAACAATTGAGGAACCATTCAACAGTGGGAACATGATGTATTTTTTGGCACATCATAACTGTGAGTTTAGTTAAGGGAAAACCTGAAGACCAAAACCCAATTTTGAAGACATGCCTTTATCGCAAAAAACATTACTTCACTTCATATTATTATTCTTATTTCATTTTAATAATTTTTTCTTTGCATTTCAAATGCTTTTATGTTTAACCAGCCTGCTGATAAGCACTTCCCAGTTGAATTCCTGTGTAAGAAACATAATATAAAGTCTTGTTATTGTTCATTCAGGAAGACCTTATGTAACTCCTTTCTCTTGCTCCCAGTTCAGCCTACATCCTCTTTCTAAGGAATTCACAGCAGATGAGACGATGATAAGCGCTCTGAAATTTCTCAACGGAACGCATACATTTAATAATGGAGATAGTCAAGGTATTCTGTCAAAATTTGGGTGACTAAACAACTCAAACAACAGTATGCATTAAATTACACTTGATTTTTAGGGCTGCAACTAATGATTATTCCCATCAGATACTGTATAATAATAAATATCTATTGAAAAAAATAAGTTTAGGTTAGATATTTAAATTGATCCTTGTCAAAAAAATTTGTTCATAACTCAAGGATATTCAAAATACTCTCATTTAAGAAGCTGGTTTCACCTTTTTGATTAAAAATAGTTTCTGTAATTAATATGGTGGAATCAGTGTCACACACTATGTGCAATGTTGAACACTATAAAACACAGGTTTTTTTGAACAAAATTCTCCTGGTCATGTCTGATTTCTTGCTATTCTCATTTTTTTTTAGGATAAATCCGCATATGCTCTCCAAGTTAGCAGCATTCCTGTGCAGCATCAGCCTGCCATCTCACAGTGGCGTCTTTCTCCCCACCCTCACAAGACACTCTATGTTATGAATGGACCAAACAGACTTGGATACGTTACTACAACAACCAGCCTATTCAGAGTCTAGGCATGTCTGTAACCATCACACCTGGTAGTGCAGTAAAGAGGCACAAAAGTGAACATGGCGTTGAAGAAAACAAGCTTTAAAGCAACGATCCAGCGCTACTTTGAAGGAAAAAGTCATCTATTGTGTCAACTTTGTGCTGCCTTTTCTATGTGAGCGCACCAGACCTCAGTGGAAAGAGTTTCGTCAACAACTTGAACGTATATGTTGAGTTGTGATAATCACACTATCATTGTTTTGTATTAATAAGACACCCACTTGACACATGTTTAGGAGGAGTTTTAACCACATCTCAAGCGCTCACACACTTTTCTGCACTTTTGACACTTCTTCCCCTCCCCGTTATCTCCACATCTACTTACCGTTCTTAGCTTTTTCACTCCGGACATTTCGCAAGAGTCTAACACCGCCGACGGACCGGGCTTCACACACACACACACACACACGGGCCTGGGTGGTGACAAGGTCTGCCGCTCGCTCGAGTCGTGACAAACTTTTGGCTACGGTAATCGAAGAAGACGACGGGCTTTTAAAAGGGACTACCGAGACACGTAGCATTCCGCTGGCCCAGCCTCAAGCCCTCCTCCTCCTCCAGAAATCTGCATAATTTGCCGGATAGCAGCCAATACTCAAGCATAACGACATGACGGGGCCGAGCACCGTAACCGGCAGGACTTGTCGGAGGCTGGGCGTGATATTCCTTTACAGCAAAACTAAATTAACCCCAATACTCTTAATTTACACCAGGCAGTGCCAGTGTATCCTTTGGCGGTGACTAGACAATGTCACACCCAACTCAGATTACAGTAAAAATCTTGAGTGTAGCTGTAGCGACTCAACTGAACCGTTAAAACACATTCGCTAACCTCTAAGTCACTGCTGTACGTCAGTAGGAAACCGTTAGGTGTAATTTAAAAGCGAGCACATATCAGTTAACGCCAGTTGAGTTCTATCGAAGCAAAATGGCAGTAAGTTTTTGTTACTGTCTTCTGGCTGAATTTATTCACACTTAAATGATGTTATTCAGCCAAAGTTACTAAGCCCTTGAAGAAACTGAGCTCTATAGTGCACCAGTTAATATTTGGGTGGGAGAACATGCTAATAAAACCCACCAAAACTAATGAAGCGTTAGATACTCTGCGTTCGCAGTTTAAGGTTCTACCAGTATATTTTAACCTCCTGTTGCAGTTGATTATCCATGTTTGAAATGAGCTAATGCGTCTTGTGAAGTCATAATTAACTTTAGTAACGATGAGTTTTTGGGTCTCAAACACTCTCGTTTTGGGGAATAGCCTTTATTTCACTGTCCTTTTACAGGTGGAAAAGAGAAAAAGAAAAGTGCTAGTGATTATTTTGTTAGTCATCCAAACCTTGCAGTCACAAAAGATCCACACCAACATAATCTCTCTATGTAAATTATTGCCAAAAGAGTAACAGTTATTAATAAGTTATTAGTATAGTTATATAGTTAGGATAGAAAATCATTGGCTTTATGCAGTAGATGTAAGCCATTCATAAGAATAACTAATAATTCTAATAAGCCACCTGCAGTTATAAATGTGAATAAGTCATCAATAAAGGGTTTTAATCTATCTGGTCTGCAGTTGTAAAGGTTTAATAAATGGATTCATTAATAAATTGATTTTGGACAACCTGGAAAAGTAAATGTTCTTATTGGCACAGACAATCACAAACCTGGATGATGTTAAAATCATACAGGGCTATGAATAACCACTTTTGTTATATATACCGAATAAAACCGGGATAAGGGACATAACAGGAAGCTGTGTACCCGTAAAGGTGTAAAGGTACTATGTGTGGTTGATGATGGTATGTTGCATGTTGCATGCATGTTGAATTAAACCAAAATGTCATGTGATTTCAGAGTAGTCACTGGCTTGTTTGGCCCATGGCACCAGAAACAGCTGCCATATATATATATATATATATATATATATATATATAAAAAGGTTAAATGACTTGTGAGGCATGTATAATGTAATAAACACCACCAATTTTCTTGACATACATACTGACCACACAATATTCAATCTAGCAGCCACAAATGGCAGCAGACTTCAGTTCAGGAAATGCTTCAAGTGCTTCTTGAGAAACAGGAAAAGAGCACAATGATGAATACAGATACATAAATTTCATACGCAGAACATATAAAATGTGTACACTGCAAAAATAAATTCTTTAATTACTGCAAGTTATGCAACAATGGAAAGAATCCTTGCAAAATAAGCAATATAGCAGTAGCAATACTGTGATGGTACAGATAAACTTGAAATTCAATTCTTAGGCTGGGATTGTGGTGCGTTTCAGAGCCAACAAATCTGCCTTTTCTCAGGCCTAAGACAAAGGGAGTGAAAATGCTTCTTCAAGTCAAAAAGTAATATGTTCATGATTCACATAGGAGAAACATTCAGACTAAGATGCGCCAATTAGCAACACAAGATTCACTCCATTTGCAAAGAAAAGACAATACATCCATTATAATATCTTCTTTTCCAGAATCCACCCTGTCAGCTTAAACCTGAGCAGGATGCTTGAACAACTCACACTCAGTCTCAAAGTCACAGCCATGGAGCAGTTCTCTGTAGTGCTCTTTGACGTCTTGATAGAGCGGCATGGAGGCCTGCTGGCCAGTTAAACCAGAGAAAGCCACAGGCTTCTCGTTGAGCAGTGGCTGCAGTCTCAGGTCACTTCCCCCACAGTCGTACAGAACCAGGACTAAGTTAGCTGCATAGGGCAACATGTGGCTGGTGCGGAAGGAACGCTCGGTCTGTGTGGCGTAGTTGGTCGATGTCAGGGCTTCACTGTCCTTGAAGAAGCCCAGCAGGGTAAGCAGTGGCAGGAGGGTCTCTGCATGGCCGACCTGGACTGTCACAGCTTCAGTCACCTGCTGGCCTGACCTAACATATAGCATATGTCAGACAGTATTAAAAAATGTCCATTACATGGCCCCAGAGTTGAAGATGAGTCTTGTTTTGTCCAACCAACAATCAAAAACCCAAAGATATTCAATGTATAATGATATTAAACAGAGAAAAACACCACATCCTCACATTAAAGAAGCTGGAATCAGAGATTCGATGTTTTTTCTCAATAAATTACAAAAATACAATTACAAATGTTTATGTTGAGCGACTAATCATTTCAGCTCCACTTGTGAAAAATTGACTAGAGGAAGACATGCAGTGCCTCAATCTTTTACTGTGTCTTACCGTGCAGTGATTTAAAGGATATAACTGGTGATATTGTATATTTTGCTTTTTGTCAACACATCTCATAAGAAGACAAAAAACAATGATAAACCTATCTTACTAACAAGTGTTATACTAAGCTAGTGTTATACTTTCCTCATCTGCGAATAGGCCTATGTGAGGGTCCGCTAGGGTCTCCGTGATGTAAATTTCATTATCAGACAATGTATGCAAGGCTCTGTACAGATGTTTGTGTACCCACCAATTTCTTGTGTCCCCACAGACTTGTCCCTGCCAGCCTGTGCAGCCACTATGCTACAAGGGCACCAACTGTGCATGCACTCCTCCAAGCTGACTAGAATAAAGTGTAAAAACAACTATGCGTCCGCAGTGTCTGCAGCTGTCACTAGACACATCTGCAAGGAAGTGTAATTGAGGCCTTATTCCATAGACGTCCATTGTTAAAAGCTCATCAGTGCACCACATCGCTGCACTGGCTTACATGTTCCTTCATTACAATGAACCTTTCCACTGTAGTTTATCTTATACTAGTACTGACTATCACACAAAATGTGTATTAATCCACAGCTGAAAATAGTCCCCAACAAACACTCAGCAAGTTTTACATATTTTGTAGGAACGAATGGTCTTGGGGCTGAGAGACAAAGACAGGGTAAGGATATTGAGAAATAATTAGAGACGTGCTAATGCATTGTTGGTTTTGGTCTTTTCATGGGATTGACAAAAACAAAAACATCAAACGACAACACTCTTCACTTTTATGTGCTCAAAAACATGTTTTACTCACTTGTTCTCATCGGCTGCTTTGTCCAGTCGGCTGAACAAATCATGGAAAAGAATGCAGCTTGACTTACTGTTGATATCATGACCATAGCTTCTTTTCCAGAATTGCTTCAGGTCATTTGCATACTCCATAACCTGATGAAGCAAATAGTACAAACAGTTGGTAGTTTGGATGTGAAGTGGGCTTTGTGTGAAGACTACAAAAGATACAAATCTGTCCCTGCAAGGTAACATTTACCTGAGTGTTAGGTCAGGGAGTAACACAAGACACAAAACACTCTTTGTGACATGGATAATACCAAATAGTTTCTCAGGGAATGAATACTGGGGCAAGGCAGAGAATACCTGATACTACTTGTTTTTAAAACAAGTTGTAGATAAGGCAGAAGGCTCTCTCTAACTTAGTAATACAACAGATGAAATACTGTATAGGGTGTATAGCTGAAGTTAATTTGTAGCCACCTGTCTGGCTTTGACTTTTAAATTCAGGTTTACAAAACTACACAAACAAATAAATGGGACATATTCAACATTTTGCCCCACTAAGGTGTCTTTAGTGGCATTGTTCCTCACAATATTTGAGGGTCTAAGACTGATTGTCCCAGGTACTTCAGACAGAATTACATAGGTCTGTTAGTTTGCTCTATTGTTTTTGAACCCTCCTTAAATCTTGTTACTTCTCCTTTCTGTTCCTATCTAGGTTTTCTGTTACTTGCAGATGTGCTACTGATAAATTTAAGGAAAGTTTTAGGAAATCATTGTATACATTTTGATTTAAAAAAAAAAAACCTTGTGAAAAAATCAACTTGACACATTAACAACCAAAAACAACAAAACACAAATTCACTGACATTTTTGCATTCTGAAATTCAGGGCAGTTTTGGCAAAGTGTCTGCTTGTGTAGCAGAGCATCTTATTTGTCCATGTTGTGATAAATGATTAACAATGAATGAATTAACTGAAAACAAGCAGTTCGGGTTATTGACCCACAAACATCTCCTTTAATTTGTGTGATGGAATCTTAGCTGAAGATGAATTAACAGGCATTTGATGAGACTCCAACATTAAATACACAATCATTAAATAGCTGAGGCACATACCTGTGCATCGACTTCATCAAAGAGCCGACACCAGGGGGAGTTCACGGTCTTGATGGCAAACTCATAAGCACATAAATAAAAAGCAGCTTCAGCCATATCTGTAAGAGGAAGGTTGCAATAAAACGTTAATGAGTAGTGAAATCAGACAGGACATGCTGCCTTTAAAACAAACACAAAGGGGAACACTAGGAAATGACCCAATTTATCCTAAAACCGAAACACCATGGTGTACTGCACTGAGTGAACACTTGACTAAAGTTCAATAAATTACTAACTTGGGTGCAGGAGCTTGGATATTTTCAGAGTAGAAAACAGCTCCACCTACTGTGTACATAATCACTGTGAAATATTGTATGACCAATGAGATGTTCTGCAGACTGTTGACCCTTCATTTTCTATAATTTCCTGGAAAGGAACTGATATGTGACCGTAAATTCACTGGGAGGATCTGGAGAGGATGATATAATTTTGTATTAATACTGGGAAACTGTAGACAGCATTCAATTGGTACATTTTCAATTAATTATGTTCAGTTAAGTGTGAGTGTAACCTTGGGATTTTTTTAGTAAGTGCAAATCAGATCAGCTGCATATGCTAAAATATGATATTTTCTTAGAGGCAAGCATGAATTTCAATATTGAGCAAAGATAAAGTTTTCAATAATCAATGAATAAAGAATAGATTTAAATGGGGAAGTTTTTAAGGAAATATCTATAAACTCAACACATCTAACTAAATATTCAATAAGCTTTTCTCTACTGCCACAAACTAAGTAGTACATTTACCATTACCATTTTACACTTTCTGCTTCCACTCGATTCCACTTATTCAACAGTTGCAGTTACCTGTGGTCAGGTAACATACCAGTGTAGGAGGTCTGCTGGGGCTCTGTGCAAACTAGAATGAAGCTCCGATCTATAGTATGGTGTGCTTTGTCCAGTGTACTTGATTGGAGCTTGAAGGAAACTGGGTGCAACAGTAAATGTTTACCCAGTGCCCCCAATGCATTCGGTGAATTTATTTACATAAAAGATCTCAGGATTCCTCTGCAACTGACCATCTGTGATGGTAGGGTATTGGACTTTAAGACGATCTGCGATCTTCTCCTGGACCCTCCTCATCTCTGGCCCCTCCTTGAACTTGTCCACCTCTGTCAAAGCTGAGGGGTTGTTGTCAACTTCCTGCACAAACCTGGTGCATTTGTCAAAAAACCTCATCAGAGCGTCGTTCACTGCATGGTCAAACTCCTTATCTGGGTGGAGAAATGGGAACAGGTCATTGCAAATGCATCTAAGTGGTAAGTGATAGTATAATCATCATGGCCATACCTTTAATAGCCCACAGCTCAGTCAGTCCTGCTTTAAAGGACAGTGTGCTGTTCACACACCTGTGCTTTGAGCTGGTTATGAATTTGATGAGTCCACCTCGAAGCTTCTCCTCTGAAATCAGTGAGGGGAACAGCTTCGACAGCCTGACGGCCAGATGCTTGTGATCATTCACTCCTTTCTGGACGAGTCGGCCGTCCATGTCCTCATTGTACCACATCGTCCACTGCGTCTGAAGTTCATGCAGCCAGTTCTCTTCGGCAGAGGCATTGCTCTTGACGAGGTCGTAAAGTTTCCGCATCTTCTTGATGTTTTTGGTCGTCGGGTATCTTGTGCCGTGTCTTATTATGGCAGTCAGATGAATTTCGCGACATTGTGCTGACGGGGGCTGTAAAATAGATCTGTTTACAGCAAGTATGTCCTCTATGAGATACGGGTTCACTTCCTCATACCTCCCTTTCGTGCTGAAATATTTGGCGATCGCTGGTATATCCTGATTGTCCTCAAGACTCACGTCATTACGAAAACAACAGGAAAAGCCAATTGTGGTGGTGAGATGAACAACAATAATTTTCCATAAAATGATCGGCATGATTCAGCCAAATAGCTTGTTATGTATTGCCGTGTGTACCTCCACCTACCAGACCCAAAACGGAGTGACGTCGTCCACGTGGGACTGTCCAGCCAACCCGTTACACAGAGCCTGTGTAACGGTTATACAGGCTCTGTGTAACAGAGTGACACAGACTATAATGGACTTTGAACATTGACCAAGGCTGGATTACCAAAGTGGGCAACTGCCCAGCCTCAGATTTACTCCATATCCCTTTGGTCAACAAATCTCATTAATCCAATGGCCCTGGTCTTAAAACCTGGCAAAAATGAATAATGTTTTTGTTTCAACTAGTATTTTTGACTAAAAGAATATATATATTATATTATATATATTATATATTATATATATATAGTATTATATAGTGTGTGTGTGTGTGTGTTGTTGTGTGTGTGTGTGGAGAAATGTGAAACTGGCCAAACTAATAAGTGATTAAAGGAGCTTTATATAATATAGTTTTTTCAATTCATTTGTCATAACTATGAAAACAAAAACAAAATCTCAGAAAACAAGTAAACAACAGAATTTAGTCATATCTTAATTTTAAAATGTTGATTACATTAAAGCAACAAAGATTCAATGTATAAAAAACAGAGCACTTGAGAAAAAACTTCTTCAACCAGTGACATTTTCAGGATAGGAGCATAATGTTTATTCCATTTTACAAATAGAAGAGAATAAAATGCACCCCATTTACCTAAACCTCAGCAGGATGCTTGAACAGCTGACACTCAGTCTCAAAGTCACAGCCATGGAGCAGTTCTCTGTAGTGCTCTTTGACGTCTTGATAGAGCGGCATGGAGGCCTGCTGGCCAGTTAAACCAGAGAAAGCCACAGGCTTCTCGTTGAGCAGTGGCTGCAGTCTCAGGTCACTTCCCCCACAGTCGTACAGAACCAGGACTAAGTTAGCTGCATAGGGCAACATGTGGCTGGTGCGGAAGGAACGCTCGGTCTGTGTGGCGTAGTTGGTCGATGTCAGGGCTTCACTGTCCTTGAAGAAGCCCAGCAGGGTAAGCAGTGGCAGGAGGGTCTCTGCATGGCCGACCTGGACTGTCACAGCTTCAGTCACCTGCTGGCCTGACCTAACATATACAGGACAAATGGGGTTCAGAATTAAACATAGCTTCTGCTGTAAGATTGAAAGAGCTTTATTTCATAAGTTTTACTAATACAAATCAGAACATGCAATGTGTACCAAGTAATATCTGGGTAATTAGACCCAAGTGTTTATACCAGTTATTTTTCAGTCTGTATATTTGTACATTTTAAACCTCCATACTTGTAACTTAGGGACAGGACACAAACTAAGATGAAGGGACAAACAGATAAAACCAAAGATACCCCTAATTATTTAATCTATTCCACTGAAGGTTTTCATCAAGGTCTTCAGTTAGTATAACCCCACATTTGTATGGACTGCAGTCCTTCAAACATGACTTACTTTATCTCATTGGCTGCCTTGTCCAGTTGGCTAAACACATCATGAAAGAGAATGCAGCTCGATTTGCTGTTGATATCATGGCCGTAGCCTCTTTTCCAGAATTCCCTCAGGTCACTTGCATACTCCATAACCTGTTGGTGCAGAAAATTCAATGGTAGCCTGTATGTTGTTTATAGCAATCTGCTAGTTTTGCATTATATGAGGTTACATTTCAGGCTGTCTGAGTTTTAGGTCAGCCTGTAACACAAGACACAAAACATTCTTTCTTGTGTGACTAATGCTTCCTTCCCTCCTTAGAGAGAAGCAATGGCATATCTAGATGACTTAGTGCTATTTGTTAGCTTTGTCATGTTTGTATTAGATTCAGCAGTTGGTTTAGTTTCTGTACTTTCTGTACTTTGTGTCCCTGGTCAACCTAAATGCCCATCTGATCAGCTGAAGTGTGTCTCTGGGTAACTCAAGTGCCACTTTGTTGTGACCGTAGGGCAAAATAACCCAAACCTAAATATAACCCTTACACTAACACTGTGGCCGATAGAGGTGCTGCCTCTGTAAAGTCCTCACATGCGATAAATCAGAACAATATTTGCTTATGTAAAGAAACATCCTGTTCTCTATGAATAAATTAACTTGTGACAGTGGAATATAAGATAAATTTGCTGCCAAAGCTGCAGAGTACGAGCATTTTTGTATTTTGAAATTTAGGGCTGTTTCAGAAATTGCTAATACAGGTGTAAATAACAAATGAACTGTGGCTGAATTCCATTTAGCTGCTTCAGTTTCAAGGTCCTGGTATTGTTCATGCTGTCTGTCTGTCACACTGTGATAAACAACCCCATAAATAAACAAACTTGAAAAAGGAAGTTCACCTTTTCCACATATATTTCCTAACTAAATGTAATAAGACTTTTGAACTCCATAGCTGAATTAAGCGAAGCATTTGATGCCACTGCCACATTAACTGTACATACTGTTGAACACTGAAGCTCTTTTACCTTTGCGTCATCCTCATCAAAGAGCTGACACCATGGGGAGTTCACTGCGTTGATGGCAAATTCATAAGCACATGCATAAACTGCAGCTTCAGTCATGTCTGCAGGAGATAAAATGCTGAGTGGTGAAGTTACAGGAAAGCTGAAATGCCAGAAAAGTGACATCCTCTTGAAATAAACTGGAAAGCACTTAGAGAGCGCATACTCCCACTTCAAGCACCAAAAACTATTTTACTATCTAATAGCATTACAGTTGCTCAGAAAGTAGTTTATCTTGATTTTAAAACTGAATCCTCTATGTAGGCATTGCTTGGTTAAGCAAACTGGTGCAGAGGCCTCACTACATCCACATCCGAAACAGCTCCACCTAGTGTCAGATATGATCACTGGGTTGTTCATGTTGCAGGTTATCCTCCTCAATTCTTGTCTACTTTACAATTCTTACATTTAATCTGATGTATACTGTCTTATATATACGTATATATAAATATAATCAATATGCACTGACTCTATGGTCTGTTTCAGACTGTTTGTTTACTATCCTTGGATTAAACTTTAATCCAGGAAAACACACTCACCACTGAAAGCATGGATTCTTAAAAGTTTGGATTAAGGTAAATCTTGCATACATGCGTATATGTTAATAACACACTCAACAGCCAAAAAGGTAGTCTTAGTGCAGATAAGACCGTGTGTGATGAGACAGTACGGGACCCTAAGACGATCTGTGATCTTCTCCTGGACCCTCCTCATCTCTGGCCCCTCCTTGAACTTGTCCACCTCTGTCAAAGCTGAGGGGTTGTTGTCAACTTCCTGCACAAACCTGGTGCATTTGTCAAAAAACCTCATCAGAGCGTCGTTCACTGCATGGTCAAACTCCTTATCTGGGTGGAGAAATGGGAACAGGTTATTGCAAATGCATCCAAGTGGTGGACAGTGATAGTATAATCATCATGGCCATACCTTTAATAGCCCACAGCTCAGTCAGTCCTGCTTTAAAGGACAGTGTGCTGTTCACACACCTGTGCTTTGAGCTGGTTATGAATTTGATGAGTCCACCTCGAAGCTTCTCCTCTGAAATCAGTGAGGGGAACAGCTTCGACAGCCTGACGGCCAGATGCTTAAGGTTGTTCATACCTTTTTGTGTTGAAATATTTGGCAATCGCTGGTATATCTGAGTCATCCTCAAGCTTCACAGGAAGTAAACAGAATGAGATGATAATAGTGAATTTCCAAAAAGAAGCCAGCATGATGCATCCAAGGGGAGGCTTAAAAATCAACTGTCTGCATAACTTTTCCAAACCTCAAACATCAGTGTGAGAGCATCAAAAATTGGACTGGGCAGATTCCAGTCCTGTTTGTTTACCCCAATTTCATCACAGCATATGCTTACCTCAAAAGTAAACCAGATATTTCAAGCTACTGTCACCAAACTCCTTCCTGTATTGTAAATTTTGATTCATTGTTTGCAATGAAGAAAAAAAAGTTACAAAGTTCCACTTTAACAAAAAACAAGTCGTTACTGATGTTTTAATATCTTACAGTGGCACAGTGAAGTTGTTTTATATGAAGACTGTGTTATTGAAAAGCCATTTGTTTAATCTACTCTATCGCTTTGACCACACATTTCTAGTTTGACAGCACTGTTGTAGAGATACAAATTCTCATTATCACAGCTCCAGTAGTTCCACTTCAACAGCTTTCAGATTAAAGTGGAAATAACAAAACATTCACCACAGAAATGGAAGTTCAACAGTAAAATATGTCCTTATGTTGAATATTGTGCAGTGTTCCACAGGTTCATGGACCTCTTGTTTGTGATTTATTTCCCCATCCACTCTACATTAGTCACTATGGCACCTATTTTATCTTCTTGTCTCCCAGTTATATTTCAGTTTACAAGATGCTGTTTGGTAAAAATTCAATCTTACAGGATTTTACTGCATTTGGCCTTACACTTCATACTGAACTCACAGTACTCCATTAGTAAAAAGTCAAAAGTATTCACATGATTTTCATACTTAGACCCTATCATGAGGCACTTGTATATCAACATGCATTTAGGTGTTACTACTGTAAACATCAAGATGACATGAAACATATGCAAACTCCACAAATGCAAGACCCATCTTGACATGATGTAGGCCTATAACAAAATTCCTATAGCTAGCCAAATTCTCTCAGCCACTGAAAATGACATATTCTCAATTAAATTGACAATAATATAATAATTGTAATTGTTGGCTAGATATAAAATACATCCAGGCTTACAGTATGTCATAAACTGCTAGGCCTATTCCACATTGCATACATAGTTATTAACAGGTCTAAAATCACAGGAATTAAGATATTGCAGTTTCAGGTATATTTTCCTAATTTTACTGTTAACATTTTTTAGATAACATCTGGGTGTATTAGCAGACTCTACTGGGCTTTATAGGAATTCCCATCCAGGGACCAGTCAATTCAAAACTTTTACAAACACCACAAACTCAAAAGTAAATTCAAAAGTGAAAGTAAAAGGAAGCAAGTACTGGGATGATGTGGTCTGTTTTCCAGGAGCCAGTCAAAAACAGTCTGTGCAAGCTGCAGCTGAGAAAGGGAAGTGACGATTTTAAGAGAATTGTAATCCAGCCTCATTTACACTTGTCATTTTAAGTGTCTCATATCCAGTTTAAATATGCAATTTTAAATACTTTTGTTTACACTACATCGCATATATACATCCCTGCAGCCAGCATTTACACCTTTTCATCATCTGGCCGTGTCTCTTATTATTATCCATCTCTAAGGCTTCTTGGTTGCATTACACTTAAATTACTTTTATGACTTGTCAGGGTCTGGAACAAGGATTAGTGTTTTATCATGTTAGAGGATAATCTGTGCTGTGCAGATCTTTGTGTCATTACATGTTTTACATTGAAAAGAAGCTATTTCAAACTAAACTGAGAGAGACACCCTAAGAGATGAGTAAAATGGATCCATTGTTGATCCTTGAAGGAGTCACATATCAGTTAAGGCTGGTTACCTACAGAGACAGTGAATGCTCTGTCAAACTAAACAGAAGAAAATGTACTCAGTGGGTATTCAAGATATGCCAACCCAGTTATTTTATCTGATCAAGGAGTATAAGCTGATCAGTGGTACCAAAGGCAGCATGACTGAAAAGCAGAATTACTGCAAGTGTGCATTAAAATGTCAAATGTAGTTTTAGTGGAGTTATATTTGTAAAGGTCAGACTGCAATTTCAACTCAGTTTATTGTGCTGCATCCAGTCCTTTTTTTTAAGACTATGACAATGAATGTTCAGCTCACTACCCTACTGAAGTTAAAAATAATCAGCATTACCAGCAGTGGAACTCTATCATGACGATTTGATCACGTGTGTGTGTGTGTTTTAAGAAGCAGTTGTCTAAATTAATAAGTGTTCTGTTTGATGTAATTTTTTTCTTTATTGCAAAAAATATTTTTTATGAATATTGCAATACTGATTAGAACCACATTGCTGCCCTACCCATTAGATTACCTATTACTTCTCCTGAACTTTCTGATACAATGATCTAATTAGCTAAATAATCAGTACATTGAGACTTTATTTTGCTGTAATATATCCTTGTATTATTTTTGTGCAATTAGGGCTATATTTTCAAAGCATAGTTTACTAATATTTGGCGTGCTCAAACCTTCACCAACAGATGGCTTCAGAAAAGTGAGTTGGGTTTGGCTTTTGCTGCTCCAACGCTGGATTTTCTGCGTAGCTGTCACTGATGCTGCATTCAAGTGCTCCTCCGGTGCTCCAAATGGAGCGGTTCAATGGTGAAAACGTGTGTTGTTGAGTATTGTTTTGCTAAATACTTCATTAAATCCATTGTAATTGTTGCTTTGTTTGGAAATTGACTGTGCTGCTGCGACATGTCACACCTTACTCCATCGTTTAGTCGCATGTGCACTGTAAGCGTTGGTATCTTGACCGACATTTATGATGGTACCTGAAGGCATCATAGGTGACGGTATTAAGGGAACTCCCGCTTCTCCAGTCACAAACGCTTACCCACGATAACGCCGGACAGACCCATGGAGCGATCCGTACCACATTGCGGTGATAACCACTATTAGAGGAGAAGTCCTTCAACATTTCGACAGCAAGGTAATCACACCTTTACTACTGTTTTGTCGAAAGCAGACCTAGCCATCCGCTAAGCCCCTTCAGCCCTGTGTGTGATCGGTTAGTTAACACTGTGTCCAAGTCATGGCAAGACATCTGTTAGTTAATGTGTTACACAAACTCGGATAAACAGCTGTATCGTAACACACGTTAAGCTATGTTACTCTGCTATGCACTATATTTGACGAACCACTCCTGAACGTTATATTTACTGCCAAACATCCGCTAACTAACGCTGCTCATTGGCCTTGTGTTGAAACATTTTATCAGTTGACGACAAAACATCTCCCGTTATCGTTAATCCCGATTCAACGTGATGGGCGGAGAAGCTACACTCTGGAAGCTACAGTCCGCGTTGTGTTAAAGTCGACCTAGAGCAGGTTAATATCTTATTTAATAAAAACAAATAAAGATTTTGTAGCACTGAAATCCACAGTCATGTAGCTAACCGTTATGCCAAATCTCGCTACGACTACCAGAGCCCAGGGTGGGCTGTTGTAGCTAGTGAGCTAGCTAGCTAAATACTGAAGACGCTAGCTTGCCTATCTATTTTTAGGTTTTCAGACTATAAGCTCTTAAACCACAGTATACAGAGGCTGCCGAGGTCTTAATGTGAATGAAAGCAGTGTTTTTAGCACGTATAGCCAACTGTGTCAGTCATGGTTTTGACGTAACGTTGTCTCACAGGTGTGTCTACTAACGTTACAGTGGTAGTGAATGTGGCCGAAAATATTCTCAGCTGATTTTCTCAGTAAATATTAACCCAGAGTTTTAACAGCAATCTTGTCCCTGTTCTCTACTCTCGGCCGGTTCACATTAGGGATCTGTTTTGCCTTGGTTTATTCACCTAAGAACGGGTGACCTGATTTAGCACTGTTTTCCATAGAGTCTTACAGACACGTCCCTTCCTCTTGTGGGGAAAGAGGGGGTAAACTCGATCACAGATGTGTTTGAACAGTTGTGTCGTCGGAAAAACACACGCCCGCCCTGTTAGCAAGACATGCTGTGTGTGGCAGCTAACCCGAGATCCACTAAGGCCACAGAAAGGGACAAATAGTTGAGCCAACAGAGACGGTGATCGAAATAAACAGGGAGACGTCTGTGTAAAGGAACTGGTGAGAAAGCAGCTTTTCACAGACATAAACAGTGTGAATGCAGTCTGTGTGAAGGCTGCATAATGTTTAAGTAAGTCAATGGGATGTATTGTTGTCACTGCATCCAGCCCAGTTGCAGAGAAAACCTCATTGCCAAAGCAAAGCATGTCAGACTATCAACAAGCAAACGGGTACATTTGACAAGCAAGGCACTGGAAACAATGAGTTTTCTGTAGGCACAGCAGCTATGATTCAGCCTTGGAAAACTGTCTCAGCTGACAACAAAACTTACTGACTTAACAGTATCCTGTATCACCGACTTCCTCTGAACTGGAAAAAGCACTTTCTTGCCACTGTTTTGTTTAGAGAGTAGGCAAACTCTTTTGTGAGTAATATTTATACAATTTTCTTCATTCAACTAAAAAAATTGTGTTTTTACAACTCTGGAAAGCACATAGACTCCTGCCTCTCTATTGAAGCTATTGGTTATTTCCATAGGCTGCAGTTAATTCAATGACATTAGAGCAAGATGTAAAATCTATGAATGAAATCATCATACCTCTACTGGATATCACTGATTACCTAGGCAGAACATCAGATGTTAGTGATGTTTGCACTTATCTGTAATCCATGTTATTGTCAGGTCCCGCAAATATCTGACCTTTTTGAAGAAAAGATGAAAACAGAGCACTTGGAAATTAGGAAAGACATACAAGACAGAGATGATAACAGGACAGGATGAGGGAGACAGAGGAGACTCATACAGAAAATCAGAGATCAGGAGAGAGAGAGAGAGTGAGAGACAGCAACAGATGAGAGCGGTTGCAGACACACGACGTGGGAAGGGTGAATACACACACTACAGATCTTTAGTTAAATGTGGCCTGTCTATCTAAAGACCTACTGAGTGTTAATAGTGCATATTTGTGATGTTTAAAAAGGAGAGTAAAAGTCTTAGTATGTTTTGATGAAGTGATCATACCCATAAACCCCCCAAATACCTGAGTAATCACTTCTCTGCTTGAGCAGAACAGACTTAAGCGATATACTCTTACACCTAACAATTAACAAAGGTTTGTTAAGAAAGTATTACAACTATTATAACCATCAGCTTATAATTCAGTTTACAAAAAGACCAAACACTATCTTTAAAATGATCTTATCAAAGACCCCATTCTATAAAGCTAGGTAAAAATGTGCCAAAACTGAGTCCCCCTCCATCCAGTTGAGACACATAGACTTATATAAAGGTATATACATTCAATGGCCACTTCATTAAGTACATCTGTACAATCTAATGTAATCCAATAAAACAGCAGTGCCATAACATCCATCTTTATAAAGTTTATAATGGTGACTTTGTTGGAAATTGAAGTTGAATTTAGCCAACAGTATACATGTCACTGCCAGTACCTACTTTGCATTACCTGCCAATTTTTGTTTGCCTGACAAAGCCTGAATAAGATATAGGTGAGATCAAACCATTGCTCCTTTAAATTTGGTGGTGCTGTTGATACAGTGTGCAGATCCCTGGTAATTAGCCCAACAATTATTTTGTTGTATTGCTTATCATTTCATCAAAACTGCCTCAGACGGCTAATGGAAAAATACAGTTTGAGTCTTAATACATTCTAACATTGATATACATTAGACATTGCTTTTTGGACCTTTCTAAAATGATTACACATTTGCAAATGCATGTATCTGCTGCTCTCCAGTGTATTTGAGCCTCAATACTCAAACCACAGCTTAGCTATAATGCTATTACCTGATGGCCTCAGCCTGTTTGTTGTTCTAGCATATGGCACTACAACGTTAGTGCCAGCCAAAAGCCATTGATCATTTGATTTCGATCATAGGCTTGTCTCCAGAGAAACAATATGTAATGGCTTTAATCTTGTTTCTGCCATAATTAGAAACACATGAAGTTTAACTGCCACTCACATGATGTCCCAGTTTCCTGTGGCCTCCAATTGCTTTTTGGAAATCTAGGCTAGTAGCACTAGCATTTTTATGTCGCCTATTTCGTGTATTTCAGAGAAGAAATTATGTCACAATATGAAATGAAATTTTAATAATCCTCGTGGGACAGAAGGGCAGTGTTTAAGTAGTCTAATGTCATATCATTTTACTGGTCTTTGTTTGAGTAAATGAAGGAGCCACACAGCTTTAGTGAGTTTGGCACAATATGAGAAGAAATAATGTGCATGTGGGGTTTTATATTATACTAGAAGATGCAAGTACATGACAAATGTAATGGCAAATGCATGTGGACAAGGGTGAGGAGCCAGAGAATTGGTCAGGAATTTTAAGTAGTGCAAGATGCCTGTGTGAAAGCCAGTTTCTTTTCTTCTTTGTGCTATTGTCTAGCCTGCTTACACCTGAGCTGGGTATCCCCCTGTCCTGACTTGTTTCGAGTAACTGACTTCCTCCTGCATTCTACACATATGTTCATGAAGTTTCTCTGGGTGTTTGGTTTACAAACAATCAAAATGAGAGTATTTTCATTTTAAGGTATGCTGGTGTGATCATTTCAAACAGTAAACCAGACACCCAAGTAGCCCAACTTCTGTATACCTGCTCCTGCCCTAATTTTTTTTGCACATTTTTGGCCTATTTTTTTTTTTAATGCAACATGATGCGATGCTGAGGGTAGATTGTGTAACTTTTGGCAGTGGCAGGCCAGTTTGCAGCTGTCTTTGAAGGAAAACATTAATAAACACAGAATAATGTAGGTATAAACTGTGAATGTGAAAAAAAGCCTTGTGAGAGATGGTTTCTTTACTATCCTTTACTTGCTGGCTCTACAGCAACTTGAAACTCCACCACCTCAGTGTATTTTAATGGCATAGTGTGCATCTTTTGTGCAGAAAAGCCTTTCTGCATTCATCTGTAGTTAAAGTATCTTGTTTCTTCTTTTTTCTCTTGTAATCATTATTAAAACAGTTGTCATTAGGGAGACACTTAGAATAATTTACTATAAATGCATGTAAGGAGCTGCGTCTGTAAAACCTCTTTTTTGGAAATTGCAGTTCCAGGCTACATGCCTTCCTGTACATGATAATGTACAGTATGGGTAACTTTCTTTGTGGTTATGGGTGTTGCCACTTGACTAACTCTTGACTTAAGCCCAGTTTAAGCTTCATGTCTAAGAATGCAACAGTGTGTACATAATTCAGATATGACTGAGAGAGAAAACGACTGGAAACAATGATGGCACCTGAAAGTCACATTTGTAATATCACTCTCTCTATTGTAATTGTGTGAATGTACCTACATCCAGGAGCAGATGAACTTCTAGCTGAGTGTTTTTTCCTTTACCTGATAGTGAATGTGCTTTTTCCTTCAATACTATGGAGTTTTAAAATCATTGGACATGATCATTAAATGGGTATAATGGATGACATCTTCATATGTAAATTGTGTAATACAATATAGCAGCCTCCAAAGTTCCCACAGAGCTTTGTTCAGGCCAGTAGGGAGTTATCAGGTTGTGTTATGCGTCTTAAATTAAGTTAAAGGTTTACATTCATTTTGAGTTTAAGTCCAAGAAAATTACAAATGTATTAATATGCCACCATGAGTGTATTTAATTTAGTCCATGTTACAGGGTTTCAGTGATCATTCAAGAGTGCTGTTGATAAGAAACATGATTTTCCAGTTTGATAAACTGAATAAAACATTGTTGCATGTTTCTGCCAAAACATGCAAAGTTATTGCATGTCTGTTTAACTGTCTCTCGTCATTTGACACAGACCTTTTGAAGTTCAGGTAGTTGATGTTTGAAAAGATGCGCTAAATGCTGTTCTGAACACTAATTACTCCCTGTTGAAAACAAGTCCCCTGTGAGCTATTCTAGTTTTTATTTCTGATGTGTCTGCACCACAT